AAAGATCACATTTGAGAAAACAATATTTAAAAAAAAAAGTTTTGTTTTCGTAACGCGTGCAAGTTTTATTAGCGTCTTCTATATTTCATTTCGATTACAATTTGCTTATATTCAAGGCATAGAGCCGTGGTAGCTCAGATGGTTAACGCGCGCTGTAAATATAACAGAACGCTAGTAACCAGGGTTCGAACCCCGCCGACACCAATGAAATTGTTAATTACAATTTTAAGTGATGATTTACCACGTGCACGGCAGTGAAGGAAAACACCGTGAGAAAACCTGCATGTTTAAGGAATAAGAAAAAAAAATATTTTGAAGACATGTGAAGTTTGTCTACACGTATTGGGGCAGCGCGGCGGACACTTCCTTGCCCTAAAACCCTCTCAGAAATGAGGGGAGGCCTGTGCTCAGCAGTGGGACGTACATAGGCTAGGCTGTAACTTTACTTTGATGATCAAGACAATAGTTAATAGGATTGTAGTCAAGCCAGTGTCGAAGTCAAACATTTTACTTATTATTAACTAGTGTTGTAATAAAAGCCTATTCATTATTGCCTTGAAAGCAGACAGACTGTGGCGAAGAAGACTTCTCGTATAATTAATTAATTGAATCCCTACACAAACACATCATAGAAAAACTTTAAGATATTATAAGTACTATCTGCATAGATTGGACCAAAAATTAACAATTTTAAGCTGAAGGCAGCCGTGGTTTACTATGACATTGGAACGTCGGCCCCCCGTCACCAAAGGGGTTAAAAATAATTTACACACATACGGTTGAAAAGTACTCGAAACGTCAAGAATTAAAAAGCTTGATTTTACGTGTTAAAATCCTTAAGAACTGTACTCTAGTACAATTAAATTAAAACTGTACATAGGTGTTTATATTTCATTATAAATTTTAGGACAAAACTCGAGGGCGGCACTGAAAATTTCGGGAATCAAGGAAGTGACACAACATTACTATTTAAAAATGTATTTATTGCTTTTCGAAGTATTCTCCGCGAAATTTGACGCATTTTCCATACGATGGAACCAATCATTGAAGCAACCATTCCATTCGGAAGTTGGGGTCTCCAAAATGGCTGTTTTGTAGGCGTCCACAGCTTCTTCAGGTGATGAAAATCTCTGTCCACACAATTTATTCTTTATTTTAGGGAAAGTGTAGAAATCACTAGGGCTTAGGTCGGGGCTGTACGGCGGATGGTCTAATAATTCTTTTTCTTGCTCTAAAAACTCTTTGTTCCTCGCATTGTCGTGATGGAGGATGATGCGGCGGTTGCAGTTCTCTTTACGGAGTTCAGAAACGACCTGTGGAAAACAAATGCTAGCATACCATTCTGCATTAACCGTTCTTTGTCCCTCAAGAGGAATAGTTGTAACATGGCCGGTTTTAGAGACAAACGTGGCCACCATTTTTTTTGCAACACTCCGTGAACGAACAATTTTTGTTGGTTTAAACTCATTTTCGAACACCCAAAGTCGTGACTGGTTTTTTGTTTCGGGTTCGTACGCGTATATCCAGGATTCATCACCTGATACAATGTTGTATACAGCATTTGAGGATCCTGCACGGAATCTTTCGAGAGTTCTAACGCACCATTCGAGCGCTTTTTGCAGTCAGTATTACCGAATGATCATACATTTTTCTTCTTTAGTATTTTTATTCATTGTATAACTCTTTTCATCCAAAACTGTTGTACCATGCCTTCTTAAAAAACTAAATAACTTATAGAACAAATATAATTTATATATATATATATACGAAATAAACTTGGCCATCGCATTAAAACACAATGTATCTCACAAGTAATATACATATTATATTAAATTAGATTGCGATTGCCAAGTCAATTTATATATTTAAAACATAAAAGATTTTTAACATTGATAGGTCACTATAAACGTGTTAGGTAAGCTAATTACGTAATAACTTAAAATAAAAGGACCCCTTAAGTAGGAACAGAATAAATTAACCGACTTGGTATTACATGGATCTCACAACTTTTTACGATAGAAGAACTGAGTTGCGAGACTTGGTTTTTTTTACAAGCCATGTTTTTGATGGCATCTCATTTCTTTTTGTAGATAATATAGTCCTACTTTTTACCTTTCCGGTACCTTCTACTTGTTGAATACCAACAATATCTACACCTGTTATACATATACAAGTACACCGATTCATTCACTGCAAATGTAACTTTGTATTTCTATATATTTATATGGGATTACAAAGTTATTTATGCAGTCAGTGTATCTAGAAAACCGGACCAAAATTAATGAATATTATAGTTTTTTCTTGATTAATACACTAAACACTAATTGTATTCTAAATTTGAAGCTTCTATGTCTGCTAGAAGTGCCTTAGAGTTTTGATGATCGGTCAGTGAGTGAGTGACAAAATTAAGAAATTTTGACTAGTTATAATTCGTAAACTACTGGTTCAAATTGAATAAAATTTTAAATATACCATGTATATACAACGCCTACTCGGCAAAATTTCATGCTTATAATTTTATTGACTACGAAGTTATAGGGGGTCGAAAATGGCCTGAATTGCTTCGAGAAAAGTATAGTACGGCCGTGTCGCTTTTTTGCTCGACTTGGCGGGGGCACTGCCGTGCCCCCAGATAATGCCTCGTTTCCAATAAAAAGATATCTCCGTGTCTCTACATTCACCATACGAAAGACAGCAGTATTAAGCTGCTAATTTACGCTTGTATTCTGTGAGAGCGTTATCCCTCCCCGGTCGAGCCGACCCATTCGTGCTACAACCATAATATAGCTGAAACGTGCTTAAATCACGTTCAAATTTATTATGATCTTTTGTAATGAAAACGAAACAAAAATGGTGATAGCCTCTCTCATTCATTTTTTCTTTTATCAAAAGGTATTCAACGAAGCATTCTGACGCTGCAAAATGACTTAGTAGAGCGACCGCTGCTTTTTCATTATTTTTTAAACGTTGCTCTAATCTAAGTTTTCTGTTGTATAGTAAGATCTGTATGTGTAGATAAATTGCACACGGACATGTATCCAAACTCAAAACAAATTATTTATAAACCATAAAAGCATTTCTTCTTTTCGGGATTCGAATCTGCGTCTTCCGTCCACGCTTGGCAAGCGGGTTGGCTGCTGCATTTTATTATAATTTTGAGTTGTTATAAGGAAGACGCTACTGCCCATTTCCTGTTGTGTTTACTCCTTTAAATTAAGTTAATCTTTAAAAATATACTATGCATTAACGGAGACGTTAGAGAATCCACTAGCCATTATAATCCCGTTGACGTCATTTCCGGCGATAGAAATGAATTGTGCAGCAGCATCTCCCTGATGACATTTCAAAATAATAAAAAGCAGCGGCTGGCAACCCGCCTGCTAAGACCTATGCTTTGCTATAGACTTTTGATAACGCCGGTACATTTGAATGATGAAGGAATGAATAAAACTGAAAAGTTACTTCATGATAGTGTTACCATGCTTATTGCCTTATAAATAACGAAAAAAATTATAGCGTAATGATTATCGCAATTAATTCGGTCATGCTATAACTCAAGCAAACACAAAGCCACATTTTTTCTCATCAATGTATTGTTATATGAAGTAGACATGCAATGTAATGCACAGAACATAAGTTTTTATAAGCTTGCGTTTCCATTCAAACGCAAGTTACGACTAAAGGATATATGATATTATATTTATAATGTTGTGTTCAATTTACTAAAACAAAAAAGTGTTGTCTACAATAATATAATATTTAAAATTTCAAAATTACGTACTCGAATCCATATTAACACTAACTCATTACTGGAGGAGGTTGAAACTATAATTAAATATCAAGACATATATTACATTTTTAGTTTACAATTCAACAGCATCAGTTTTTTTGCATGTATGTTACGCGATATCGTCGTCAATTGTGTGGTTAATCCGTTTATATACCCTAAAATCCGCCCCAAGATGAGTAATCGGAATTCACTTTTATTTGTTCTTCTAACTTTTTACTCCAAGTATACAGTTCAACACATATTACACTTTAATTATTAATGATTTTTTTAATAACTACAAACTTATTTGAAAGGACATATTACATATTGTCTGTCGTTATGGTTTCCGTTGCAGCATATTAAAATCCCTGCATTACGTATTGCATTTAAATAATATTATACTTCCTCGTTTAAAATAATATTATTCCGGACACTACAATATTTCCGGGCAATTACCAACACCAATTTCATTATTATATTGCTAAATTCGTCAATTTTAAGGTACGACTGCAATCGTTTTCTAAATTTCTTTGCTACCAAAAATGTTTTAGCAAAGAACTAAGATTTAAAAAAAAAATGTAACTATTGGATTCATTTTATGCCAAGATTCCAATGAATCTGTAATCCTGTGAGGCACTCCTTTTATTGCAGCGTTGATTTTTCAATTAACAAGTACGTACATATTTTATAAATTATATCTACTATATACCGTGAGTCAGTTTTTATTACGTTTAAGCCAAAGATATAAACACAATGGCTGTACACAGCCAAAGGATAAAATCGGAAGCAAAATAATATATATGAATGCCAATTACCCACTCCGTTTGGAGTGGATAATGATGAACACGCGTAAACACGCGTTTCTGAGCATCCATCCTAGGGTGGATTTTTTAGGGTGGATAAACGGTATAAGCCCAACTGTGAACCGTTTTTGATGATTATTTGTTATTGAATAGGTTAAGACATGAAGTTTTAAATGTGATTCACCCTTTTAATGTAACTATTTAGAGGACATTGAGGTTGTTATATCCTTTAGGCATTAATTCTTACATACACTGTGTATTAGCACCTACTTCAGAATATGAAATTATAATAATTTGTTTAATTGTTTAAACCTGGCTATTACTTTTTTATTAAAATATTTTTTATTATTTAATAAACACTTCTTTTCATAGACGTCTCTAAACTAAAAAAATCCGAAGCCCAAAACCTTTATTTTTTATACAAACTATTAAGCGTAGTAAAATCTAGACGAATCACTGGCGTAACTTTTAAAGTAGTTAAAAATCTTCATAAAAAAATCTGGAGCAGGTGTAGCAGTCGCCGGTAAATTTTGAACTTTTCGTAGAAAATTGTTATAGCGAGCATTCTCCTCTTCTTTAAACAGCTGCCGCAAATTTACTTCTTCGTACAGTTGTATAATTCGCTTAATTTTTTCTGGATTTGGGATTCCATAACATTCGTTAAAAATATTTCTTTGCTCGGTATTGAAGTGCTGTAATGCGACTACAGCCGTCCACGATAGTTTATTATTTTCAATGTCGTTAGTGGATTTTTTACTCATTGACTCACCGACGTCGAAACACTCCGTAAAGTCATTCTAAATAAAAATAATAAAAACCTCAGTCATTTAAAGCTATAGGCTATACGTCTCACTGCTGGACATAAGAATCCTCTTGTTACTGCTACTCCTACTAACAGTTGGTCCACCACACTACCCCAGTATGTACGTGATCGCACATTTCACGTTGGGTCCTCGAATTGTTTTATTTTTCAGACAAACAGATTTTCTCACAATGTGTTCTTTCACCGTTAAATGAAAATTTACAAATCGGTGCTTAAATTATTATTATTATCGCGTTACAATTTCATTGGTATTAGAGACTTTTATCTACCTTCAACTTGTAATGATGGTGCAAGAATATCCATCACCTCAAATCATCCCCTGGGGATCGTAAGAGTAAGACGCGACGGCATGAAACTGAAACAGGGGATGGGCAGCAGCATCTTCGTGATTACAGTTCAAAATATTAGAAAACTGCAGTTGTACACTCACATTTCCGTCGACGCCCCTTTAGGCTCCTCGGACCATTGTCTTGTCCGGAGTGTGGTGCCATTCACGCTGAAATCGCGGTTGCATTCTGCAGGCTGCCGCCGTGTTTGGCACTATAGGTCAGCCGATTGGCATGGGATGCGGTCTTTCTTTGCATCCTACCCTTGGGGGCGGGTTTGCTTCTCGCTGGACGATCCCAACGTTGTTGCGGATTCTGTCGCTGATGTGGTACTTCAGGGTATGGAACTTTTTATTCCTTCCTCTGTGGTGCCCATTGGAGGCAAATCTCAGCCATGGTTTGGTCGCTCCTGTAAAATAGCATCATGCTATAAGCAGGAGTGCTACCAAGCCTGGGCTGACGCATCAGCGTCCAGGAATGTAAACACCAGCGCTCTAAAAAAGAAGTATAATTCCGCCTCTAGGTCCTTCAAAAGAGTCATTGCCAAGGCAAAGTCAGAGCACATAGGCAGAATTGGCGAGAGACTAGTTCGTCTTCCTTCTGGAACCCGTGCATTCTGGTCTCTCGCCAAGGCTGTCCAGGGGAATTTCTGTCAGCCATCTCTTCCATCTCTGCACAGGGAGGACGACTCACTGGCCCACACCGCAAAGGAGAAAGCCGATCTTCTAGGCTCTTTCTTTGCGTCTAACTCGACTCTCGATGACGGGGGGAGTACGCCGCCGACCATCCCGCGGTGTGAGTGCTCCATGCCGGAAGTGCAGTTCACTCAGCGCTCGGTTCGCAAAGCACTCCTCTCCTTGGACATCCACAAGTCGAGTGGGCCTGACGGAATCCCCCCCAATTGTGCTGAGGACGTGTGCTCCAGAGTTGGCACCGGTTTTAACGCGTCTTTTCCGGTACTCCTACTCCCTAGGCGTAGTCCCAAAATCATGGAAGACGGCTTTCGTCCACCCGATCCCTAAAAAAGGCGACCGCTCAGACCCGTCCAACTACCGGCCTATCGCCATCACCTCCTTGTGCTCCAAAACAATGGAGTCCATTGTAAACTGCCAGCTCATGAGGTACCTTGAGGATCACCAGTTGATTAGTGACCGCCAATACGGTTTTCGCCGTGGTCGGTCAGCTGGTGATCTTCTGGTCTACCTAACTCACAGATGGGCGGAGGCAGTAGAGTCCAAGGGAGGCATTGGCCGTTAGTTTGGACATTGCGAAGGCCTTCGATCGGGTTTGGCACAAAGCGCTTCTTTCGAAGCTCCCTTCCTATGGGCTTCCCGAGAAATTGTGCGATTCGATCATCAGTTTTCTTGCAGGTCGGAGCATCAAGGTCGTTGTAGACGGTGCAAGCTCCGATTGCAAGCCTATTAATGCTGGTGTTCCACAGGGCTGCGTGCTATCGCCAACGCTGTTTCTTCTGCATATCAATGATATGTTGCAAACCCGTAACATTCATTGCTATGCAGATGACAGCACTGGTGATGCTCTTTACACCGGCCGAGCCAATATTTCTCGGGAAAACGTCTCTGAGTGCCGGGACAAACTTGTGTCTGAAGTCGAGTCTCTGCTGGACAGAGTCTCGGATTGGGGGCGACTAAATCTAGCCCAGTTTAATCCTCAGAAGACACAAGTTTGCGCATTAACCGCCAAAAAGAACCTCTTTGTCATATCTCCTCAGTTTCAAGGCACTCCCCTTGTTGCCTCAGCCAGTATCGGAATCCTCGGCGTCGATATATCGAGTGAGGTGCAGTTTTGTGGTCACTTGGAAGAGAAGGCCAAATTGGCCTCTAAAAAGCTTGGCGTGCTCCGCAGAGCGGGACAGTATTTCATGCCGGCATACCGCCTGCAACTTTATAAGGTGTAGGTTCGGCCACACATGGAATACTGTTCCCATCTCTGGGCTGGAGCTCCCCAGTACCAGCTCCTTCCACTTGACCGCATCCAGCGCAGAGCGGCTCGAATCGTCGACGACCGAGTGCTTTCCGATCGGCTCGATTCACTGGCACTGCGAAGAGATGTTGCATCCCTTTGTATTTTCTTTCGCATATACCATGGAGAGTGCTCTGAGGAATTGTTCGGATTAATCCCAGCCGCCAAATTTCGTGAACGCACTACGCGGCAAACGTCCCGATACCATCCACACCATCTGGATGCTTGGCGGTCCACCACTGTACGTTTCAAAAGGAGTTTTCTTCCGCGTACAACCTCTCTGTGGAATAATTTACCACCGGCGATTTTTCCGGACCGATACGACCTGGAGACCTTCAAGAAAAGAGCTTACTCCTTTCTAAAGGGCCGGCAACGCACCTGCAATTCTCCTGGTGTTGCGGTTGATCATGGGCGGCGGTAGTCACTTAACATCAGGTGAGCCACATGCTCGTTTGCACCCTCTTCTATAAAAAAAAAACGTACCAAACGTGGTGTGTGTACCTCTATTGGGGAATTTATGGAGCACCGATTCTTTACTGTGTTATTTTACTGTGAGAGCTTGGTCCTGCCGCAGTCGAGTCGACCAATTCTTGCTACAACCATAATATAGCTGCAGCTTAGCTCTACCACGCATAAATAAATAGCACGTTTAAATATAAGGACGATATTTGAAAAATACATTAATATAGCTTACGTGTATCTGAATGAAAACGCCAAGGTCATTGAACAAATCAAGCACAAGCTTATAAGATTCTTCGTTCGCCTTATTGCATAATATTAATGCAAATAAAATCGGTGAGTTCATGCAATAATATGAAGCTTTCATGTAACTCATCTTATCATAATTTTCCATTGTGAAATCGTCATAGCTTTTTGATTGTGCAAAGTATAAATCTAGAACTTGCCCCATCTCCATTACGAGATACATCTGCGAAGAAACAAATATTTTTTTTTAAATTATTAATCTTTCATCTTTAATTTAACCGGAACAGTCCCCTGCTGGATAACGGTTTTTCTGATTTCAGATATAAATCGTCTTAATTGCCACACTTGGTAGGCGAATTAGCAAGCTCAGTACAAGATATTCACTGCTTCCCATCGCCAGTCTGGATTTTACGTATCTATACATAAAAATTAAATTTTTAAGTGATGGCTGTATATGTACTAAGGAATTGACAGCCTCTTATTGAGCTCAAATAATAATCTAATATACATAATTAACAGCTCCATTTGCATATCATTAAAATATAAATAACCACTTTTATAATTTTTGATTGTATGTCTGTATATTTCTTTGTTCAAGCTTATCTTCGAAACGGCTAATTCCATTGTAATGTAACTTCTCGAACAGATAATTTTATTAATAAAGGCGATGCCAGGAGTGATCTAGGGTATATCTTATACGAAAAAAGAAATTCGAATATCCGCGCGATAGTCGCTAGGTCTTAATAAAATTGAAATGGCATAAAAGCTTACAGTTCACCTTGTGGTAGTACCCACCCAGTCGGATGCCTAGGTAGAAAGGCAGTTCTACCAGCTATTAAAACGCAAATATTTGCCAAATAGGAGATATATGAATATATCGCTATCTTTCGGAGGCCAGAAGGTTTTTCTGTGTTTTCGATATACAATTCCGAAAAACTTAATAATCGTCATCATTACAGCCCTTCATATATCCACTGCTGTACATAGACCTCCCCCCGGGAATACCACAAAGCACACTCCTGAGCCACCTGCATCCACCGACTTTCTGCATTTCTTTAACAGGTCGCCACTCCATCTAGAACGCCCCTTAGGGCGGTCAGCGGGCTAAACTCCAGCAAGTATTTTCATTTCATTTCAAATCGGAACTTTCTGTAATAATATAAACATATCAAACCTCATTAAAAGTGTCTATAACTTTCGTATAAAACGTTTCCTTAATATTTTGTCTCAGGATTTCACTGACGAAACTTCGCAAAATACACGTGTCGTTCATCGCCATAGCACTAGCATAAGGCTGCAAGTGCCAGCTGGATACTCCTGAGCGCATTTTACTGTTATCATACACATCATCCTGTATCAAATAATAGGACTGAAACTAAAACAAAAATGGCCATAATTATAATTGATTTATTATACAATTAAGAAATAAAATAAGAACTGTCAGTTGTAGGACTGCACATCAGGAGTGAAAACTTCTTAGCTTCACAAACTGGTAAAATTGTTTTTGGGTTGTTAAGAAATATTTTTAATGGTTACCATACACGGTCGGTTAAAATGATCAGTTGAACTGACGTACATCCAAAAACTGACCGTGAGTGTAAAATCTTAAGTTGAAATTTTGAACTGACGGTAACCCATGGATTTTTCGGGCGTACTGTCAGTAAACTGCTCAGTTGAACTGACGATCATCTAAAAACTGACCGTAAATATGATGATGATGAAATCACGATATCATCCACACTATCTGGATGCTTGGTGGTCCCCCACCGTACGTTTTACTAGTAGTTTTCCTCCTCGTAAGACCCCTCAGTGGAATCGTTGTTTACCACCGGCTATTTTTACGAACCATTACGTCTTAGAGACCTTCAAGAAAAGAGCTTACTCCTTTCTAAAAGATCGGCAACGCTGATGATAATTGCAGGTAATTCTTATGATGTTGCGGTTGTTAATGGGCGGCGGTAGTCAATTACCACCGGGTGAGCCGCATGCTCGTTTGCCCCCCTCCTTTTTTTAATTTGCTTGCTTTGAGAAGTTAATTTATTTATTTTAAAAAGCGTTAACGTCCACGCTTAGAGTTTATTCTATATAATGGAGATATGGTGCACGTAGACTAACATGCAGACTCAGAACATAAACTTGCAAGACATTCTAGTTCTACGTGCAAATCAGGATATTAGTAAGTGGTAGAGTCACTCTGCAGCTACATTATTATAACTGCAGCCCGAGTAGGTTCGCTCGACCAGAAAGTACTAAAGTCTTACAGGATATCAGCGTAAAATAGCAGTACTGCTGATTCCTTATCAGCAGGGAAACTGTCCGCTTGTATCACAAGCAAAGGTGTCAAACTCTTACTTATAACAGACAACAAACACGCTACGCGCAGTGCCGTAGACTTTCACGTATAATATGAAAAAGTTACGACCTATTTACATCCCACAATTTTTAACGGGCCTCCTTTGACTTGTGAGAGGGTTGTGGAGCAATTTGTCTGCACTGCTCCGGTGGGTATTGGCGGATATCACATTCACTCAGATATACAGGTTTCCAGGTTACATGGGCAGGTTATGCAGGTAGTTATGATGTTTTCCTTCACCTTATATACTATATACTAATGAATACAGAACATACCGTTTCTGAGACACAGGCTAAGCAATAAGCCTGCTGCAACATCTCATCTGTTATATTTTCAGGTTCTTCTAACGATTCGTAAGCATAGATTAAAAATTCTCCTTGCAGTGGAAATTTTGAGAGTACAAAATGTTCACACATCTGAAATTATTTGTAGTTCTTATTTGCATTGTATCTTCTTTTCATTAGAAATATATATACAAAATAAGTATATTATAAAGGAAACATGCATAGGTAATTAAGTTTACCTTTTTAATTCGGTCTTTTGTAAGTGGGTGATCAATATATTTGTTATTTTCTATTGCTTTGTCTATCAGTTTTGTATAGTATCCATTAAATGTCTTAATGAATTTTGTTGACAGTGTTGCCGGTCTGTGAGTCGTAGCTACCCTAAAAATAAATCGATTTTTTATTATATAATAAAAAGTATACAAGTTTTAAAGGTAAAATACCTAAAATAACACTTATTTTTATATTGTATTTAAACCGTAACATACTATTGCAAGGCTTCTATAATTTCCATCTTATTCCAAAAACTTTTACATGAAGTAGTAAGTACATATAATTATTTTTATGCTGAAACCAGATTCCGTTCCGCCAAGAGGTTCCGCGAAAAATATGCGAAATAAAATATAAAGTATGCAATTCACGTTGCTAAAGCTCGTCTTTCTTGTACTCTTTTAAGCCATAGCTTAAGCCCGACTATTTCATAAACCACCTTTTGTAATTAGACAACGTAAGTGTAATCTACGTAGCAGACCAAAAATGAATTATAAGACAGAGCCTGGGTCTTAATGTTAACTGTGACATCATCACGATGAACACCTATGTCCACCAAGTGTCCGGAGGTCTTGCATAACAAACAAAAGTCGGATGTTGAAAATATAAAATTACCTCAAATGTGTAAATTTCGAACATAAGAAATTTTTACGTAATTATAAAAACGCCCGAGCTTACATACATTTTTGAAATGTAATCGTTTTTTGAAAATACCTAACTTATGAAATTTTTTCCATTTTAATTCAAGTAAATGATTTTAGTGTAATGGCTAAAAATAAAGGCCGATTTACAATTTTAGTTTTATCCTCTTCGGTGGCTTTATTCAACGGTGGTTTAAATCGACGTATCTAAAAAATAACGATGAAACTCATGCATGCCAATTCAACTTTGTGTGGCGAGTTATAAAGGGTAGATAATGTTCACAGATCACGATCCTAAGCCACCTGCGTCCATCTACTACGGTACTAGTTCTCACTCTAGTGGGGGCCACTTTAACTTCAATAACCGGTAGGAGCAGTGTTACAGCTTCTCAAAATTTCACAGACTGCTGACCGCATCTCCCCCCCCCCCTCATAGATTACTTCATGATAAGGACATTTACTATATTTACCACGCTTTACAGGAGGGTCGTCAACCGCAGTTTTTTTATTCTTTATTTGTTATTTTAGAAGACGTCGCTGCACATATGGTCTGATTCCCGCCGTCTTGTCAGTGTCAGTGAATTTTCAAACACCAAATAATATATAAAATAATAATATATAGAACAATAATATAAACTGAAAGCTTAAGAATATGTAGGTATCATCGGATCTGGTTAAAAGTTTTATATGGTTGCACTACGTAAGCGAACTAATTAACTGATCTTAGAAACATCGCGTTAAGTAGGTACATATATTATTATAAAGATAACCTAATTTAAGAATTTTAAATCTTAACTCAATAAAATTTAAAATATTTTATTCACGATACATTTTAAAAACAAACAGAAAACATTGTGACTGTCAATTGACAAAAACATTTAAAAATAATATGGTGTTTTAGTTGCGAATGTAAAACTTACCAACTGGCACAATTTCTATAAAATGTGACTAAGTATTTATGTTTCATCATTTTGAGTCAGATGGAGATTGTTCTACAGCAATAATCAAACACTTCTGTTTGATCATTATCATTTCTCAAATAAACCTTAAAGCGAATCCCCCACTTTAATGAAAATCTTCCCTCTCTTTTCGGCTTGCTTTTTCTCTGTCTTTCAAAAACTTTACTGATTACTAATCGCTATGAGGTGGCAGCAGCGTAGAAAAATTTATTATCTCATTTAATCACGTAGTTTCGTAAAAGTTTGACCATAAAAATGCCAGAAAAATTTGCAGGACCTAACAACAATATTTTATGTTAGCAGCAGATCAGCATGACAATTGTTAATCCATCTTCAGTGTGCTACGGTTAAGGGGTCTTCATCTCTGAGAGAAGCTAAATCATTAAACTAAAATATAACTAAAGTATATAGAACTAAATTACCACATAACATTAGCGATTGAACAGGGATATTTTATTGCAAACACTGTTTTGAATTTGGGTTGTGCGCTGTGTAGATTTTAAATGTTTTAGACTTTAGTTTTGGTATCAGGATGAACGTGGCCTACTTGGACTTATTTGATATTCATGAAGGTGTCAGACAGGGTTATGTAGCATCCTTGTTGGTGTTCAACCTATTTATGGACAGTTCTGATGTAGTGCAAGTTATGTGTGGAAAAAGAAGCAAGAAGCAGGTAGAAATGCGGTTATTTAGGAGTATGTGAATATCAGGGTGTAATAAAGATGGAAATTGACCGATAAGAGAAAAGTGTGGTGTGCAAGATGATGTTGTGAACAGGATTAAGAAAGGAATCTTTCGGTGGTTTGGTTATGTAGAAAAATTAAACGAGGAAAGCAATTTATTACAGATGGACCTGGATGTATGTATATAGGATGTAAAGGATGCGAAAGAGGTGTGTCAGAACCGTGATAAATGGAAGTCCATTGTCTCTGCCTTCTCCTCTGGGTGATAGATGTGAGTGTGTGTTTATGTTATGTTGAATAACGTTGGACATGTGTTGCTTAAAATAAAATAAAATATTAGCTCAACTTTTAATTTTATTGGTGAAATAAATAAATTTAACCTATCATTTGCCAATATTTTATTATATTGGAATGTTCTTGCATGTGAGAGCCTAATACATAAGGCGAAACCGCGAAAAAAATCACCTCCTTTCACCAAATAGTATGACTATGATAACACTGAAGAAAATGGAATTTTAATATAGGTAAATGTCTTTATCTTGAATTTGCTTGTTAAAAACATCATTGTATAATTTTGTACGATGTAATATATTTTATTCTAAGTTTAATTTTTAAAACATAGTGTCCTACAGGACGAAGGCCGGCAGTCATAACGTAGACTGCCATCTGTGCGGGACAGGATTATAGTGCCCAAGATTATGCGCAAGCACAGGTGCACTGTCTATTCCTTCACTTTCAAAGTCCGATGGACGGTAGTCCGATACGATCGGAGAGAGATCAGGCGCAGTATCGACCGCTTTACGTGCTTTCCGAGGCACGGGTGTGAAACACCGCCAACTTCCCGACTCCAGGCTCCTACTGAGAATTTCTTGACAGAAAAACACAATAACTGATTTTTGGCTCGACTCAGATTTCGGACCCAGAACCTCACGATCAAGGATCGCGCTTACGACCACTAGACGAACGAGGCGGCATTAAACAAAATATTAAGGTTTGTTAGTGACGATAACGGGGTACTCAACCTCGACGATTGTGATCATTTTGACAACCTCAAAGGTCCGAGTGTATACTGTTATTAATTATCAGTTGCTTAGTTACATTCTATATACGTCCCATTACTGAGCACAGGCCTCCTCCTATTTCTGAAAAGGTTTATAGGGCACAGAAGAAGTGTTCATTACGCTGCCCTAATACGTTCGTATTGGCGGGCTTCATATTTCTTAGACATGCAGATTTCCTTACTTTGTTTCCTTTCAACGCTGAACTGACATGGTCCAACTGACATTAACTTCAATGATTATATTATAACGTGGTAAAAATTGATATTTCAAAAATTACTGAATATAAACATTAATGAATACTATGGAAATGCATTTGTTTCCACCTAAGTACTTATTTCTTGTAGATATTTTATTTTTTATTTTGTGTTTAAAATATAATATGGATACATTAAAAAAACACTTTTCGTACCGCTAAAACATAAGTACATATTTTTGCGCTCTTTCAATCTTGCCTATGTGGAAAGTAAAAGAAATTACTTTTAGCAATAAGACCTGCTTTGCTTTGCTGATCTATGTTCGTGTTTATGTTAAGAAGTGCAATTAAGCGTTATTTATTTATCTATCTATCGATGGTTAATGATGTAGTCGTGAGATTTTGACAAAAACATTTAAATTTTTTGTTAATTACATATAGCAAGGTCTAATAATTTCATAACCATGTTTTCTGTCATATTAACGCCAATTAAAGGTGACAAACGAGCAGACAGTCCACCTGATGGTAAGTAGATGTTGTGGCCCATACATACCTAAACTATATTGTAGATTAAGAATCAAAACGCATGTGCCTTGTCACACTGGGCTCTTTACCAGTAAAACGGTTCTCCGGTTCTGTATAGCATATACGAACACAGCTGTATCTTGCAAGCTGGAATTCTGTGCGACTGAAAAAATCAACTGAAGGAATTACCAAAAATATTTTGTGTAATTATATATTGCTTGACGGCAGTAAATCTTAAAACAAAGATTATTCAATACAAAATCAGTGTAGTTCCAAAAACGAAAAGGCTATAGAGTAAACTTCAAGAAACTCAGGTGTCATTTTTCGCCCATTATTTTTAGAAAAAAAAAAAAATGCTTAGCCAATTTTAAATCATGATGGCATAATGTCCTTCAGAAAGAATTTCAGTCACGACGGTCAGACTCAACTGAGGCTAGGCTCTTTATGTGCCATCAAGCACTGGTGCGTTCTTTATCTGCTTATCATCATAGTCTTGTGAGACGGCAATCCAATAGAGCGGAGAGAGGTTAGGTAACGGACCAACGGTCCAAAGTGCTAATGAAGACAAGGAGATGAAACACAGACAATTTTCTGACTCCAGGCTTCTAATTGGAATTTCTTGTCAGAAAATCCTAATTTTATCTAGGTACTTGTATACTTAACCTCCCCCAACATAACTAGCTCATGACTTATATGGTTTTGTGTATGTAAATATATAGCTGGATCAGGCCCTGGGTATATAGATTTACTTGAATTGCAAAATATCAATTAAAGATGTTTTGAATGTTTAGTATTTGATA